TAAACATACAAAGCTTTCTTATGTGAAGAATGAGAGATTTTAGAAAATGCAATAAACATCTTTTAATACATTTAATGGGAGTGTCCTGTTAGTGTGTATGTACCATCATTTTTTGATTGGACTTGCACACACAAGTATCCAAACATCTCATTTAATTCAAAGAAAACATCTCATAAAATTCAAAGAAATTTGTTGTCAGCAGTTACAGTGAGCAAATACACTGATTTATCCAAACAGCAATATCTATTTTGTTTGAAGAAAAACTTCTCTCCATCCCTATTGGCATCAGATTACCTTCTCTTGCTCTGCACCTTTTTACTGATTTTCTCAGCATCTTGTCTCAGTGTTTCCTCTGTTCTGTAAGGAATTTGTGCAGGCTTTAACTAGTGCAGTCCTTTTCTGGTTATCCTGGGACTATAAATGTTTCAGCACTTTGTCTACATTCCTTGTTGAAAGAAAATAGTCCTTTTTATTTCCATGTACTGGTGTTTCCCTGTGATCCCTAGATTTCATTTAAGAGAAAACTTGATGTTCTGAGAAATCCCATAGTCCTATTTTTAATAGTATCCTAAAGTGACTTGGTCTTGGTATTCTAAAAAGAAAAAAAATTACACATCTTTTTTTCTTGACAAGTGGCTGACTAAATTCTCCTCAGGTATTAATGTGCAGTGGCATATTGGAACTGGGGAAAACCTGGAACAACAGAGGCCAAGCCCCAGAAAAATGCACACCAGGTCCCTGGTCTGGTTGGCCAGACACACAATTGGGACTGACTTCTTTTGGACAGAATTACTCTGCTGAGCTGTAATGATGCTTCAGAGGCTGAGATGGGCAAACAGTCATTTTTGTGCAGGGAGGAACTGTCAGTTATGCTCATAAAGTTATTGAAGAAATTGAGCTCGAGATGTTAAGACGGAATGCCAGAATACTGAATCTGTGAAAACTTTTTTCAAAGACTGACAAAAAGAAATGGTTTAAAGGAGATTAATTTCCCTTTGCAAGGGATTATTTTTATCAGTGAAAGAATTTGAAAGCTTCATGAACCTGCTCTTAAAGCTCACTAATGTCACCAGAAATACTATGTTTAATGTTTGTAATTTCCATATATCTTAAAAAAAATATCAAGTGTTCCTACAGGATTATATTTATTTTCTGCCTGCCAACTTCAGCAAATATTGGTCATTTTGGTGCACTGCTTTCCCATACATCATTGAAAAAATGACTTGTAAATGTGGACCTGTGACTTCCTATGCAAAGTGGGATTCAACAAGTTTTCACAGGGCATTAAGGCATGAGGACAAAATCTAGTGGCTTGAGGGATCATCATAATGATGCCTTGTTTAGGGAGAAACATTGGAGATGTTATAGCAGATTTATAGCACTATATTTCACAACTACAGAACTTAAAATGCTATTTTCAGACCTGTTGTCTGTAAAAATGTGGCATATGTGATCACTCTGTAAATGTGTCTTGGGTCAGATTAGTCACATTTGCTCAAATTTGATGTTGGATTGGCAATCCAAACCTAAAACCTTTCTGAAAATTTTTATTTGCTAGCACAGAGGAGCAGAGCAACTTCATAGATAAAAACAGGTAAATAACTCCATAAGTAAAGACTAATCCTTTGCCATAGAGAAGGCAGTAGGGATCCAGATGGGAGCTGAGGGAGTGCAAGCAAGAACAGCAGCCACAGCTGAGAAAATGAGGCACCAAAGAGCTGCAGGACAACAGGCCACAGCATTAGAGGGACCCCACATGTGGGGGAAGAAAAATCTGTTTCATTAATTATTCTATTCAGGAAGCGAACTGTAAAAATCATTTAACCATCAGTGATGAAAAGCTATGGCTGCCAACTGAGATGTGTCAGAGCTGTACACAACGTTTGTTTTAGCACAGCATGCTGCTTGCAGAGGGATGTTTTGCTAATTAGTTGTTAAAGTTATAGGGAGTTTGTAATGCACTCTTTTCACAATTGAATGACTCAAGACAGTAGAGTTATTGTATGAGTAAAAAACAGCAGGATGAGGCCATGAGAATGTGCCAGTCACCTGATATCATGAGATTTCTTCATTATAAAACCAAGTTTTTCCTGAAGAAAACAAAGAAACAGAAAATCTCCACAAACCATTTCTTCTCTCTGTTGAGTGCGCTTGAGTAATTTCTAAATACACAAGGCCCTGAAACCCAGAAGGACACAGTGAAGAAATAAAGTCACTGAAACCACAGCTCATGACAGAAATGCTGCTGCCCAACTATTCTTGTTGGGCTTGTTACCAACAGGGAAGCTGTTCCTGAATGCTTGGACTGTTTGTCAGCCTAGATAAATAGGGAAAATGGGATAAAGATTGTTAACTAAGCTACAAAGAAGAGATATAGTCAGAGAGCAGAAATTGCATTCAGTTGAGATTTAAGGGAAGCTATGACACAAAGTCTGAAGTTGACTGACCTGGTAAGAATTGCCTGAGCTCCTCTGAGCTCATGCTATAACAACAGAAAATCTGGCCTCTACAATTCCAGTGTGGCATTTTGTCTAAATCATAATTTAAAAGCTCACACCCACACCAAATGAAACACAAAGTCAGGTTCCCGTGGGTAACAGGTATGACACAGGTGTCTAATTAAAATCTGCAAGCTCAACTTGCAAAAGCCAGAATTTCATGACTGAGGAGAGGCAGGAATTTATTCCCTATGTCCATCACACTTTTCTGTAAAGTCAATTTTCTTTAACAGTTATGATAATGTTACATGCTCTGAATGAATGAAAGAGGACAAAAGGCTGGTCATCCTCTATAGGTCCTGCTAGGGCTGGAGGAAAATTCTTTGGTGCTCCCACACTTTTTGTGGGAGATGCAGCAGAGCTCAAGTCACTCCAGTTATCTTTTTCCCGAAGGAAATATTTGCATTTTTATTGAACTGGAGGATCAAGGGTCTTCAGTTTTATAAACTCAGTCTTACAGTTAAGATCAGTGATTTTTTTTCTAACACTGGTCCTAGAGAAATAAAATAGTTCCTATTTCAGAAGTAAAATGATTTAAAAATTATTAATATGTTAAAATGATTAAAATATTAATGGGTCTAAGAAGGAGACAGGTGCATAATATCAAAAATTTCAGATCTGTGTTTTGTGCATTTTCTACTGCACTAGCCATGGAATAAAATGTGGTTCTGCAATGGTATGTTACAGAAAGTATCTTAAGCATTTAATAAATTTGGCACGAGTTTCACATTCTTTGGTTAAAATGCTAACACATGTGGATTTAAGATTCAAAATTAAAGGTACTGGGATTCTAAAAACAATTCAGAGTCCATCTTCTTCAAGTACTGACCAAGAACTCAGACTGTGATTGAAAGACAAAAATATCTTGTTTCTTCAGCTGGGTCCTCAGAGTCTTACCTTGCTCAGATCTCTTACAGCATTTTTGAGGCCAATGTCAGTAATGAACACCAGAGTCCAGGAGCTTCCCAAGCTTTGGTGCCAAGAAGCGAGCACAAGTGATCAGCAACAGTGTCTTGAAAGGACAGCTGTAGATGACTTTATATATATGTACACACATATATAGATCAAAGCATAGGAAAAAATTTATCAACTTGAGCAGAGCTCATCAGTATCTTGTTTGTTATCTTGCATTTCTCCACCTCTATTTTCAGTAGTCCAGGGCACCATGACAGCTGTGGATGAGCAGGTGCAGAGAACAATTATCCTATTTCTGGAGGTAATTGTGGGCTTCAATTAGGAAGCCAACTTACTGGGGTAAAGAAACTCATCACTGTTGATTCTCAGGTGAGGAATAAGATCTTTTCATGTGACCCACCAAGAATATTCTATTTATTTATTTATTTATTTATAATAAAGCATTGATGTCAGTGTAATTCTCTGGTCTAGCACACTGCAAAGGATACACAGAAGCCATACAGAGCGAGAAATAAAGCCAGTGGGATGCAGATGAACAAGCTTCTTTATAGTGACAGTCATAAAGTTGCATTTGTGAAAGATGTACTCATATCTGCACCAGAACTGAATTCCTCTCCCTGCAAAAATCTACAATCCTGCTGGTGGGCACTCAGAGAATTTTCTAATGCAAAATAAATAAATAAATATTCAGGCAAAAATATCTTACATGAAAAAAATATAGCTGAGCTCCATTGTTTCAAAAGGCCTGCTCAAACCAGGATGCTTTATCTTTTAATATCTATCTATTTATGCATGTGTGCAGAAAACCTACAGACTAATTGGAATCATATTTGTATATCTACTGACTATTGTATACTATATTGTAAATTCCAACATTTTGCAGTTCTCAAGCTGCCATGCAGAGAAAGTCAGTAATAAATCCTTCACTCTTACCTTTTCCATGTTTTCCAAGAGTTTTATTTCTTTGAAGTGTCTTTGATTTTTATGTATGTATAAAATTCAAATATTAAAAAAAGAAATCCCAGTGTAAATCCCTACCATAAACCAACATAAACTCCCCTGTGCCAATAAAAATGCACATTTAAGGGGATGGGCGGGGATATCTGGGCTATAGATTTATTTTTTTTCAAGCTAGATCATCTTTATCTAGTTTAATGTTTGTTCTGTTACCATTTAAAATTCAATTTCAGGTAGTTCTTCATCATATCAGAATAGGATGCATCATTAACTCTAAGAGGATGTTTTCATTTGGCATCTGCTATTTTCACCAAATGTCAAGGCTTGACATTTGCTATCTTTATCTGGTTTTGGTGTATCACTCATACTGAGATTTTGTTTCTTCTTATCTGATATTGATTTCAACTGTGACCAGCTGTGTTGCTAATAAAATCAACAGGCAAGTATCTGGCATTTAGTTCTTCACTGCTAGAGGAAAAGAAACAACCCAGTGGCAAAAAAAAAGTAGAGAGATACTTTTCAATTAGGATGCTCGCCTGTATCCTCGTATTATCCACCTCTTAGTACTTCTGTTGATGTTACATTTCTGATTGATTCCCTCGGGGAAGTCTCCATGGAAATCCTTGCCTCTCAGATGAAATATTCCTTCTTGCTCTCATCCACTGCTTCCTGGAGAGCGGGGTCGTTTTTCAGAGCGGCGTCGGCGCTCTCGGCGAACTCGGTTCCCTTGGCCTCGTTGGTGTGGTAGGTGCCCTTGTGCCTGTACATGTAGCGCACCATCACCACCAGCAGGCAAATGAGGACGAATACCACGGCAGCAATCACACCTAGGGGAAAGAAACCACTTCAATCTATCACCAGTGGTAAACCATGAGACGTGTTGCACAGCAAGACATCATGACCTGAGTCGCTGGGTAGGGAAAAGCCCATGTGTCATAAGGGTTTGTATGCTGCAGTGGCCAGAGTCAGAACGTGCTGCAAAAACAAGATGGGATGTAGATACTGTAGGAATACTGGAAAAATTCTCACTAGCTTTCTTTTAAATCAATGGCTTGATTTGATTGAACATATTGGAGCTAAAAGTTCATTTCAAAATGAGGAGAAATAAAAGAACATAAAGGAAAACCAATAGGTTTCTTTCATCCTTCTGGTATGTAACATAAACCCGAGGTGGGGGGTGCTGCAGACAACCCAACACTGCCTTCTCAAGTGTTCTCAATTTCAGGAAATGTTCAGGGCACTGAGCATTTCATAGGGGACATTCAACAAATAGCAGGAGCTGTGTGACTGGAACTGCTCTGTATTTGCAAGCTGCCACTTCATTCTGTGCTCTAATTAAGAAAGTTTGATTGTAATGAATGTGAAAGTGACACCTGGCAGAAGGAAGAGGTTCTGAGTAGATCTTTCTTGTCTCCTGAACTAATTTCCAGCTATGTGTTGACTGGACAAAAATTTCAATAGATGACCTCAATGTGCATAGGACTAAATGGTGAATGGAAACACTCCTAGTGAAAAAAGTAAATTCATGATCCTTTTCCATTGTGAAAGGTAGAAGTCCATAAAAGAGACAAGTTCATGACAAGTCCATTCTTAAAAGACATACAAACTCTATCCCTTTCCTCCCAGATCAAATTATTGACTTTAAAATTCTGACAAAATTAAGTATTTTGAAGTTTATTCAACTTGTGTGACTTTTAATTTTTTTAACATGATTTTTTGCTTGGTTCCAGGATGTGCTTATAAATGTTTTTACTGTGATTCTGAGTACATGAGTACATGATACTGAGCTGATTCTATATTCATATGAATCCAGGAATAAGCCAAATATTAAAGAAATACACAATAAAAAGAACTTGAACAGAACATTCCTAGGGCTTCCTCTGCTGTCAGTGTGTGTGGGGTCATTTTTTCTAGAAGTGAATTTTATGTTTTGTCATAAGAATTCCTCCCTAGAAATGCATACTACTTTGCAGAGACAAGGAGGGGAAGGTGGAGAGTACCTCTTTTCTGCTTCTTATATTCAAGATAAGTGGCAAGAGTGGGTATCTCCAAAGCTTTAGGTTTATCAGCATCAGTAAACTGAGTGTGGATACCCTACTGGCATAAAACCATAGGAACAGACAGAATATTAGCAGGGTAAATAAAGATTATAACTCTGTCTTTAAAGATATAGTATATATAATGCCTTAACATTATCCCCCAGATTTCATGGTGCTTGGTTCTGCAAGGTAAAGTTACTGCTAGCAGAAATGAAATCGCTTATACAAAGAACTTCAAGTTGAAAATAATATCATGGTTGCACCATAGGCTTCATCAATTTTTAGGACCTCAGTGGTATCCCTTGACACAAGAGGCTCTAACAGGCTTTAGATGTAGCACAATATTAATAAGCCTAGGGGACTAAGTACAAATCAATTTACCTGCTACTTGTTCATAGAAAGCTGAAATTAAAGTTACAGGAGATGGGACCTGAGGGAAATATAGCAGAACCTCACCAATTTGCACTAATGATTGGTATAGCCCCTTGTGAATGACTGAAATTAGTGTGTTAGCATGGAAATGAACAAACACAATAAAAATAAAAAGACAGGTTCACTCTGTGAACGTAACTTTGCTCATTTATTCTGACAACTGTATTTAGTTTAAATGCATGAGAGAGCTTTAATGGAACACCAGGAAATAGAGTGGTGAATTCTGCAACAATAAAGGGTCAGCTGGTATAAGCTAACATCCCTCATATCAAAGGTGCTGCACCAGTTCTGTGCTAAAGGACAAGCTTGATCCAGTGAATACGGAGGGAAATCAGAGACTGACTTTTCTGCTGGACTGCTTGGTATTTTGTCCTAAAATGGGGAATGGATGGGGGTGATGCTGCTCAGTATATGGTTTGTGCTCATTATCTCATCTTGTTATCTTGCCAATAGCCCCTCTGGGAGCAGATTTCCCACTGGCCTAATTAACTCTAATTGTGCCGCTCCTGTTGTCTTGTCAGGGAAGTAGGGGTTTTGCAGAATGCAAGAAATCAACAAACCTGCTGTTTTAATTCTTATGGTGCTGCTACTCACCTCCAATAACAGCCACATCTGCTCCAGCTGTGGGGCTCTCCACTTCTCCATCTATAAATAGAATAGAACATAAAAGAATTAATCATAAAAAAGAAATTGGAGGAGCAGTGACTGTACTGGCAGTTTTGTATTATTTTAACCTGTGAAACGTGGAACTTAATATCTCTTGTTAGCAAAAGACATTTATGAAAATTCACATTAGAGTTAGCCTTACTGTAACAGTTTTCTGCCATCACAGTACTGGAAAAGAAATAGCTAGCACATTATGCAAACTATCATGGCCCCCAGGGAAACACCTACTGTGTATTATGAGCACTTACCTGTAACATCCTCCAGTGAATGCTTAAATTAAGAGCATTTAGGTACTGTGATTATTCTCAGAAAGGTAGTTTTGGGAAAAAAAGGGTTGATGTCTATTTATTTTCCCATGTATGGCTCTTCAGAGCATGGTCTGGATCTTGATTTGGTGCAAATTAATCTATGTGTATTGATTTCAATTAGTATTTATTTATCTGCAATGTCCTGTTTTTAATGTTTGCATTTGTTTTCTTTTCAGCTCACATTTGAAATCACGGCAAGCCTCTCATGTGTGTGGTATAAAACATAGCCCCAACACAGAGTAAGTCTGAATTCAGTGCTGATAAATCAAATAACATAATTGCATTATAACTTATTAGAAATTTTATTTGAAAATTCCCTTTGGTAAATGCAGTACATAGAAACTTTCTCTGGAAAAGGTGAAAATGTAACTCCAAATCCTTCTCTAAAGTGACACTATAGTTGATACCTGGGTTGCTTTTTGCTGTATCTGTATACATGATTCAAGGACAAAACACTATCAGCAGAACTCTCCTTGCTCATTCCAGTCTCTAACATCAGTTTGCAACAAACTGAGAAGAGCTGAGATTCAAAGCATCCACCTCTTCTCAAACATGGGAGGTGCTTTTTTTTTTAGAAAGTAAGAGCGCTTTTCTCTCCCCCAGAGATCCATCCCACATTTTCTTCCATCTATATACTGATGGAAAGATTGAGCACATCTTCTGTAATTTAAAAACTCTTATTATGTCTATGTCTATTCAAAATCCACGTGCTCAGAAAAGATTAATTGCCTCAAGGTCAAAATGCACTGTATTTCTTCACACACCAAATACATGCTGCATGCCAAAAAAGCAGGCTCCTCTGCAGCAATCAAACACTTGAAGGTGTGAATTCCAAAGTGCTTCCCAAGCCACACAGCTTGCTGCCAAACATTAATTCCAGATCAAATTATTATCCCCTTAATTAAAAAAAGGTTTATGAGTAACTCTCTGCTCATACCTGGCATTCTTAGGTGCCTCTCAGATTCAGATAACAAGCAGGTGCCTTATCTCTAGGACTTAACATCACAGTGCTTTTTGATAATGGATTACAGTATCATCACTTTGCAGAAAAGTCTTCATTTCCATCTTTCTAAGTTTGCAACAGAATGCAGGACTCATCTTGAGCTATGGTACAGCTGGCACTAATCTGCTAATCTGGCAGTGCTGTGACCTCCAGCTGACACCCTGATGTGGCTTCTCTCACCACAGCTCCCACTTTACTGCAAGAACCAGAGACTGACTACTCCTTTGTGTGTGTCTCCTTTTGGCCAGAGAACAGGCTTGCTGTCCTCCCAGACTGACTTTTGCTGCATCACTTGGAGTGCCAGAACATTGCAGCTACCACCAATGACCAGACAGTCAAGGTCTGCTCCCCAGATCAGTTCTGGAGCAATGTTGATGTAGAGCACAGAGACACCCTCGATCCCTGTTTCACTGTCTCTGAAATTTCACTTTGCCCAAAAATAGCTATGTGATTCATGGCAGTATTACAGTACTGCTAGGCAGGTGTGAAAGTACTGGCGTTGTTTGAGGTTCAAGCAGTGTCGTCCTTCCTGAAATATGGCTGAGGAGCACGCAAGGCATGTGTGATGGAATGGGACCATCTTCCCTGAGCAGGAGTTAAACAGTGGCTGCTGTCCAGAAGGGAAGCCGTGCTTGCCCAGGAACCTCAGCATGGCCTCTCTAGACTCAGTCTGTGTGAGAAATACAGTGCATTACTGCACTACTGAGGACTGAGTCTTCACTTTCTGAGGCAAAAAAGACATCCAGCTTCCTGAAGAAACCTTTAGCTCAGCAATGGCTTTGGCCTTCTTGTACCTTCTTTATTCTGCTCTTCTTCATATGTAGAGTCCTCAGAGGTCTGTGTTTCAATAGCTGCTGTTGCACCTGTTTTGACTGTTTCCCTTTGTTTCAAGGACATCTTTTGTGTTATGTGTTGCTATATTGTCATGGCAAAACTTCCTCTCCCTCTTATATTGGCCCTTGTCCAGCTACAATCTGGTTCTGAAAGTGCTTGAACATTTTTGTTATTTACTGCCACTGGTTACCATGACACACAGAAATCAAAAGAGTGTGGGGAAACATGTTTTTCATAAAATTTCTGGCCATCAGAATGAGTTGACCAAATCAAGAATAGAACACACAAATCAAATTGTCTGTTGCTGGAAAGTATGTTTCTAAAAGCCAGAATGATAAGAAAGAAATGCTTTTGTGTCATGACCTGACATTCATCAAATTCCAGTTTTGCTCATAAACTTACAGATAAGAAATTTTTGCAATAGAATGACAATTGCTACCTGTCTCATTCTCATCAATCACATCCTGCTGAGAAGGCAGCAGCCTCTGAAACTCCCAGAAATATCCCTGACTTAAATACTGCAGGCAGATCTCTGCTTTGTTCTTCACAGGTGGCACACCAGTGCAACTGACTTGTATGTTAACATAGCCAGTGGTGACTTATTCCTGCTAATTTGTCGGTAAATTTGTTAAACTACCTCCTTCAGGTGCAATTTCCAATAAAACTTGATTTTTATGAATTTTAGTAGTTCTTCCCCTCCCCTTTGATTTAATCTATCCCTTCCATTTTGGCTAAGGAACACTTGTTTGAAGTGGGCAGGTCCAGCAGTGAAAACCTTTGCTTGAGGTTCAGCACTCTCCTATTCTCATGATGCACTTTTCTGACAGTTATAATGATTTCTTTTGTTCTATAAATTGCAAATCTGAACCACTAAAAGCCATAAATCACTTCCTGCCCCAAAATTCTGACACTAGCTTTAAAGCAATTATTTTTTTAACACTTACACTTGCTTTATATCTGAGCTTCATTCAAGTAGACCTTTCCAGTCCTTCTTTACAATGCCTTTACAATGCCAAGGACTAAATGTGCTTTGTGGACAGAAAGTGAAGTTTTGGCATGATTTTGTGACACCAGAGAACAGGTCTTTAAGGAAAACACAAAGTATAATGGCAGTCCTTATCAACGAGCAAGACTTCTACTTTAGAAGCCTAACCATGTAAAGACATTCCAACTGACAAGCTGTTCAACTTATATGGTGGTGGGAAAGGGCATATTCATCCCCCAGATACTTTCTCCCATTCAGCATAGAAAGCTCAGAGTTTAGATTTTTCTCCTTGCAGGAAACAATACTTTTACATGATTCTGTGGCTACTATCAGTGACACATGGAATAAACTTGTAGAAAGCTTCAAGCTTTCTAATTTTCAGGCATAATTTTCGCTTGCTAAATTAGTTTCCAGGAAAAAACAATCCAGTATTTTTACTCTTAGTGGTTCTGCATTCAGGACCTTAGTCAACAATTTAAGCACCTACATGTTTGATTGCTATGGATTTACACATGGGAAAAGCATGAAAGGAAAACCATACCTGCAAGGGGATCCCCATTTGGCACATTTGACAGGAGTGCATGGGAATGACCCTACAGGATAGATCTAATCTACTGGTGTGAACTGCCAAATCACTACTGTGCAATCCACAAGGACAATTTGATGGTGTAACTGTGGACCTTACCCCAGACTTCTCAAGGCCTCTCCAATTTCCTAAAATAAAGTTCCAGACTGAAGCTGGCAGTGTTGAGTAGAGAATGAAAAGCCCAAGATTACAACTCACATTGTCATGGCTCCCATGCAGCTGTGGGTGATCCTGCATTTGGGAGTTTGTCAGGCTAAGTGAATATACAGATACCTGTGTGTGATAAGCAGCTCTGACAACACAGGTTTCAAAGCCACTTGACAGCAGTCAGGCAGCACTGCTCCTGCTCCTGTCTTTCAGGATCTTCCTACCCACATGCTTGTGCTTTTGATTCTTAACAACCCCAGCATCTCTTATCACCATGCTCCATTGCTGACTGCTAGGTTACAATCTCAGACAAAGCCTTGGCTGCTAAATTACACTCAAGTAGGTCTTTAAGTGCTTTCTTGTGCAACCCGTTCTCTCTCGATGTTCCTGTTCATTGCATGAGAAGTGGCTGAAATTCATTCAATCCATGTGAATGATGGGTTGAAATCCTTCAGGCAGTCATTTCCTTCTCAGGGCTTTCCTAGGCATGCAGACTAGGAAACACACAGGAAGATTGCAACTTGAATCATCAGCTCACCTAATCACTTTATGAAAATCTGCTGCTAATGGGACTTCCCAGGTGAGGAACAACCCCCCCTTACCTCAGTGTATCCAGGGATACCACCCCAAATACTGGCTGAGTTGTTGCAGGCAGTGGTGTGTAAGCAGTCTCTATCTGTAGGCTGAAATGTGTCTTTAGAATTTTGCTATTAATTGTTTAATTGTTTTGTCTTAAACATTCCTACTATCTATCCATGCATGTCCAGTAAACAAGGGAGATGTTCAAATTGAATGATAGTTCATGAATCCAGTTTATGGTTCAGGCCAGATAGAGATGGAATTCAGAGGAGGGTTTTACCTCAGTATTGATTGTTCTTTGCTTCTTCCATACATTTGAAAAATAACTTTGGTTACAGTAACAAGACAAATGAAATGCAGTTTACTCAGTAATACAGAGTCTAGTAAATTTTTCTCTATTTTTTGGCTTGTATCAATTGATCTAGCACAACATACCATACTAATCCTGCCTTATTTTTAAAAAGCTTAATTTTAAAAGAGGACTGCCTTTTTATGTAAAGAATTTAGGTGAGGTTCTAATTGTCTCCACTCAAGATGATACTAAGGTATTTGACTGGGTTCAGTAAAACATTATAAACTTCTAAAAGCACTGAGGAGTATATGGAGTCCACCAGGCAGCTTTTGCAACTGTTAAAAACCTTTTCTGTAACTACTGCAATTTAATCTATTAAAATATTCTTTATGCAAAAATGTATTTATCATAACTGTTCCTTTCCAAGGGGCTCTTTTTGTTCTTTGTATGCTCTTCTGCAGTCATGGTTCCTCTTGACTGGAAAAGCAAGTCCTAATGTGTCCCTGTTTTCTCCACTGACGCAGGACTTTTCTTATCACACACTTAGTATAGAAAAACTAATGAAGTCTTAACACCTCCATTGTTTATGCAACTATGGTATGTCCTCCTTGCCCTTTGGTTTATATTTGTGCCTTCCCAACACACTGCATTCATGAGAAAATCATTAATCTATTAACCTCAGCACACCAATTTAATTTACAAGCTATAGTTAGAACTGGTTCACTGCAGCTGCGTCTGTAAAAATGAGTCGAACCAACTTCTGAAAACTTCATGTTAGAAATATGTTAATTGCTCAAGCTGCTCTCTGGCCCGTTACAATATCAGATGCATCACACTGAGGCCATTCTGAGTGAAAAAAAAAGTCATTACCTATTTTAATATTTGCCAGTAAGTGTGCTGTGCCCTGCTAGAGCTGGCATCTCTTGTCCCTAAGGGTCATCAGCCTGAACCCATCAGTTTGACATATTCAGCTGAAAAAGTCATCACCATCTCCCATTAGACTATGAAACACATTAAGGCTGCTCTTTCAAAATTAAGGAACAGTTTCTCATCTGTCAATCTGGAAAAGAGACAGAATAATTTGGCTGCCACTTGTATACCAAATTATTATAAGGAAAATAATGGTGTCATGTAACAACAACAATCCCATGATCTTTTGGACAAGTAAATGGATTGTGTTGAAAATGAAAGTTACATCATGCAGATTAAAAATACCTATGAAATTAAGGGTTATTTTTGTACTGGGTCCAATTCTCTTGTTATCCCAGCTAAAAAGCACTTTGTCATTAATTCTAAGCAGACTAAGAACAGTTTCATTCAAATAAAGGTCTGTTCAAGATTTTTGACACTTTATAACATAGAAAGGATAAAAAGCATGGATCAAATTAGTTTAATTAGATTGTCACATAATTTTAATCTCATTTGATTCTAGTATACAGTGTTAGCAAAATAGTTTTTCACCATTCTAGAATGTTATGGAGTAAATAAGAGAAAATCTGTTTTACAATGTTTGTGGAAATAATGGTTTAATTTACACACAGTTTCTCCTTAGGTGAAGCTGAATTGCCATTGGGTCTTGGGAAAAGCAGAGATGGAGAGATACACTAAAAGTCATCTTGTCAAAAAATAATCATATGATATCCCTTAATGATAAGAGGGAAAAGGAGAAAATATTAATGAAATGGGAAACTATTTTAGGTTAAAAATAATAAGGATATTTTAAAAGGAAGATATTCTATATTTTGAAATTAAAAAAAAAAACAAACATGTATCAAATTTAAAAAGAGGAAAAAATTGTTTTAAAGGAGTATATAAACTAAAAAAGTATACAGATTTTTTTAAACTAACTTTTTCATTTATCCCCCAAAAGAACTGAAAAAGAACTGACAGTACCCTCAAATTCCCAAATTCCCCTTTCAGTTTGAACAGTTTGAACCATGTACTGGATTCTTTTTTTTTTTTTTTTTAGTTTGAACTTACTGGAGACTTTAACTTCATTGCTCAGGGTTGTTGAACCCTGAGAATTGCCACCAATTCTGATGGCAATTAAGTCCATCTGGCAAGTGTATTTAAATGGTCAACACCCCCTTAGAAGTGCTATAACGTTGCAGTGACCAGTGTTTGCTGTGCTCCTAAGGGAAAGCTGCTCAATGTCTGAAGACCAAATGTTGCCTTCTTATCATACAAAGCTGCATGAAGTGTGAGAACCTGGAAGAAAGTCCAATCTGTTGAAAAAATGCTGCATGTGGCTATCTGGAAGTTGTGTCCTGTTTTGTCTGTTTCATATGTACAGTTACATCACTGCAAAATTTCCTTACTCTTCCATGGAAATAAGTTGATGTAACCAGGCCATCATCTACATTTTTCCTCTATAGCTGTCACAGCCAGCTCATATACAACATCTTCCTGGAGAAGATAAATTGACCTGGAATTGTTTCATTGAGAAAGGAGTGACAAATGGAGTATGAATCAAT